ATGTGGTATGCTTTTTTTTCTATAATTCTATCCTGGTAAATTAACATTTATTAGGTGTATCAAATGTGTTTACGTTATATTACAAAAATTCACTCCAGAAACTATTTCATATAAACATCTAAAGACTATTTGTAATTCTTGTATATTACTATTACTAAGCTCTTTTCGTTCTATTATATATATATATATATATATATATATATATATATATATATATATATATATATATATATATATATATATATATATATATATATATATATATATATATATATATATATATATATATATTTATTTATTTATTATCAAATATTAATCAAACATAAATTGAATCCGACTGAGTAATAGTGTATGTAAACCTCTGATAATGCCTTAATTCCAAATTCAATTATCTGGTAATTTTTTATTGCATTTTAAACTGTGTATTATTTTAAAGTCCGCTGAAGCTGCTCACATTGTTCGAGAAATAGAGGGAAAATCAAGCAATATTTACAAAAACTGGTTTTAATATTTGAAGAGTTGTAACTCGCCCTTTGAAATAAATTCATAATGGAGGATTTTCAATTATCAATTATAATCTTTTAAACGTAATGTAGAGAATTCGATCACCAACTTTCGAAAATTTTTCAAAACCCAGAAAGAGATTATATAGAGAGAATAATATAAACTTTTTTTAAAAAAATGCACAAACATGTAAATAATGTATGGGTATTAAAAGGAAAAACAGACCTCACTTTTATAGCCCGTAAAAAAAATGTAGTTAGCCTGGACGTAATTATGGATCAGAAAAATCGTATAAAATAGAAATTGAATAGAGCGAATATAGAGAAAGAAACAGAATTATAGTATATAGACAGAGAAATGAAAAGACGGAGAAACTAAATATTTTACAGATAAGTTGACATTGAGATATGGAAACAAACAGATGGGCACCGAAAGTAGTCCGGCCAAAGAACTAGTGGGTGAAAATCAACACAATGAGATAAAGAGGGTATTTCACAGATCGACAAGAAATACATAGATAGAAATAGAATCCGTAATCAATAGAGTGATAGATATGCACAAAAGCAAGATACGAATTGAACAGACAGACAGAAAAGAAGAAAGGAAAAGAATAAAACAAGGTCAGTAGTAAAGAAGTAGTCCCGTTTGAAGAGGATTTAGATCAATATGGTTGAAAGAGTCAAACTACTTAAACTTAACTAAGAAAAGGAACTGTATTTGTATTCACATTTTGAATTGTTCCAAAAGTAAATGTCGAATTCTGTCAGGATATTTTCGTATTTTACCTCCTTACACTTAATATAAACAGTTCAAGATAAATTCCTCTTGTAATTTGAAGAATTTCTTTCAGAAAAACAGAAAATATTCGATATCTCGCTGGCACCCTATTCCCAAAATGTTCCTTTAAAAAAGAAAACGAGAACGAAAATTCTATCGTACAACTTCGTGTTGTGTGTCGATACAAGTGTCACGGTTTCTTATGTATGGACATTTCTGTTGTTATTCCCAACGGTGTCTTCATCAGATCAGGTAAAAAAGAAAAAAAAAAGTTTTTCGAATTGGGATTTCCAAGACTTCTCCTCCGTACTTGGCGGAACAAAATCTTCGTCGCTCCTTTTCTATATCATGATTAATTAGTCTTTGTAATTATGCAATATTCTCATTCGTGCCTGTTACAGTTTTAGTTTGAGGCGAGATTTGTAGCATATCCGACGATAACATTAGCGACAATTTGGTCCCACACATTATTATATACATATATATATATATATATATATATATATATATATATATATATATGTGTGTGTGTGTGTGTGTGTGAATGTGACAGAAAGAAAGAAAGGTTGTTTGGTGGCTTTTATGCTTCACGAGACCGCAGTCTGTCTTTTAGCCCCCAGTAAATGTGAGGATTTCGAAAACTAATCCTTAAAGCAGTCAGACTAACCTTACTTCTAAGATTGGCGCAGTACACTCTTCATTTTTCTCCACTTCCAAAGTTAGCCTTGTGCCAGACTTTGTAAATATATGTTTATACCAGAGATATATATTTCTATCCATATACAAGTATGCATGTGAATTCGAGCGTACAGTATATTCAAATTTTACGTTCGGTAGAAGACCTTCATTTATGCAAGTCGTTTTAAAAGTACTGTTTCTTGAATGACTGAAAACAAAAATAGTGAGCAGAAGGAATTAAATAAAAACTTACGCACACCTATTTTCACATACCGTCGCGTATCATGCGACTTTTGAAGTACTAATTTTTAGCTAATTTAAAGGTGGTCGCATCATATACGCATTATAAAATTAGCGTATACACTACTGGCCCTCACTACGCCGTTAACCAAACTATATCCATTTATTTTAGTGTAGTCAAATTAGCTTCAAAATTAGATCTTCAAAGATCGCATGATACGCGAGTATATATGGTATATATAATATATTCTTGATTTCGTTTTATCTTTTTATTCTCTTCTCTCTCATTTTTATGTGTCGA